GATAATATCTGAAATATATATTATGGTGTTAATTCCAATGTCGACTAGCATTCACGTTAAGCTTGTGGAAGCGGTTTGGCGCAGCTGGAACGGTTTGGTTTCCCAACCTTGAGGTGGAGGTATCAACCCCGTGGAGTATAAATGGATACCTGGTGGGGTTGCCTACTCATGCGCTGATTACGAGAAGCAACACATAGTATGTGGACCCGATCACCACGGAAAATTACTGCGTTTTATAACCGCAAGCAAGAGGCGCATTATAAATGCCCATACCATTAGCAGTACCAGAGACATCAACACGTGAACTTATATTATAACCAGCCAGGGAGAAAACTCTCTTCAAATTGGTTGGCAGTTAAAAAAAACGTCACGCTTCACAGCCTGTCTTTGCAGTTATGCCCTTTTACCTTGAGAACTTACGAAACATTGTGTAGTTTGTCCTTATGCCATGACAATATCAGCCCCGGGGACACTTTTTTTTATTTCCCCTGTGTTAACATGTGTAACACGATGCACTGACCCCACCAAGCTATATGACTGAATTTCGCCAAAAATGTCAGTTATGCCCTTGACCATGGGGGTGCGGCAGTATTGACTGAATTACAGACGAAATTTAACAAAAACATTACGGAAATTTGTAGGATAACTCCTACACGTTAACATTTAAAAGTTAACTTGAGCTTTGTGCAAAAAAATAAACGTCGATCACTCTCCTAGCGAGCATGAATGGTTGATGGGTTTCTTTGATTCTTTTACTATTTACCAAAATGCCCACCTTCATGATACAAGACAGTTTTACATATAACACATATATTATGATCTTAATTAAACTAATGCAATTAGTTAATATACAAACGACAAGAGTTAGACTCACCAGGGAATACACCCTTCGTTATTGGTCTACCGTAAGGGGAGACATTATTTATTGCCGTCTTCAACTCAGAAACCTAAAAAAGTAATTGTTTGTGTCTCCACTGCTACAAACTTTCCAACTTGCAAATACTCCAAAAACTGTTTCAAAATAAGTCACAGGCATCCATCTCAAATTCTTGTGTCTCAGGTCCACCCAAAACAGTCAAATCACTTCCAAACATGGAGCCCTGCTTAGCTAAACGACAAATGCGAAACCCAGTGCTTCTAGGCCGACAACCACAAGTTTTAAAATTAATGAATCTAATACTGACGATCCGAGTAAAATTGCCCATTCCTTTAATGAACACTTCTCTTCACATTTTAGTAGCCAGTCCTACAAGGACATTCCTTCCCCTACTGACATTAGGCCTTCTGAACTAGATGAAGTTCCTCCAATTCAAACCTCACCGCAGATGGTTCTCCAATTCATTAACAGATTGAAGTTCGGGAAGTCCCCCGGATCTGACAATATTACAACTTCTATGTTGAAATTAAGTGTTATATATGTATGTGAGCCATTATCTAAAATGTTTAATATCTCACTTGATAAAGGTATGTTACCAGACGATTGGAAACATGCCAATATAGTTCCAGTGTATAAAAAGGGAGAGCGAGCTTGTGTTCGGAATTACAGACCAGTATCTCTCTGCTCTGTTGTAGGCAAAATGCTCGAAAGAGTAGTAGTTGACAACATTACATCATTTATGTTAGACAAAGGGCTTGTCTCCAGTTTTCAACATGGATTCATTAAGGGCCGTTCTTGTTCTACCCTCTTGTCGTCAGTGATTCACCATTGGTCTGCAATTCTTGACTCAAGATCCCCTCCCCATATTGACGTAGTGTTTCTAGATTGGAGCTCTGCATTTGACCGGGTTGATCATTCCGCTCTTCTGGCTAAACTTTATAATTATGGATTTTGTGGCTCGCTCTGGAGGTGGCTTCATTCTTTTCTTATTGGGCGCTCTCAAACTGTTCTTTTTCGGGGTCAATCTTCTCCTGTTGCCCCTGTGACCTCTGGGGTCCCCCAGGGGACAGTCCTCGGGCCTATTATTTTTAATTTATTTATCTGTGACCTTCCTGATACTATCCAATCTTCTATCCCTCTTTACGCCGATGACACTCTTCTTTATCGTGCTATTTTCTCTTCTAATGATGAACCCATCCTCCAGAGTGATCTCGACCATGTTTGTAGGTGGAGCGGGGGGTGTGGAATGTCCCTCAACCCGAACAAATGTAGAGTAATGCGAATCACATCAATGAGGCTTGCCTTCAGCTCACTTCTACACACAAGTACCTTGGTGTTAACATTGCATCTAATTTATCACGGGGTGCTCACGTTAATGATGTCACTTCCAAGGGTCTGAAACTTCTTGGCTTTATTAAGCGAACTTTGAAATACAATCACTCCGAAGCCTTTATCAAATTATATAATTCCCTCGTGAGACCAATTGAGTATGGAGTACCGAGTTGGTATCCATTTCAAGCTGGACATTTGAAATCTATTGAAAAGGTTCAGAGAAAAGCAACTCGTATGAGCATCCCAAATGAACTCAGATCTGTGTTAAGCTATGAGGAGAGATTAGTTAAATTTAACTTGATATCTATGAAGGCTAGATACGATTTCATTCTTGTAGCTTTTGTTTGTAAATGCCTTTATCATGTGTATGATTTAAACTGTTTGGAATTTGTTAAGATCAACACAAGACACTCTGATGATTTGCGTTTTAGGCATGCCTTTGCCCGAACCAATGCATTTAAATTCTCTGCTTTCAATTATTTTCCCACTGTATTGGAAACTCTTCCACTTGAAGTACGTGATGCTGCTCTCTGTAACATTAACTTATTTCTCAGAAAGCTAAAAGAACATTTTTACAACTGAGAGAATTTCTATTGTGATGTAATACTCCCACGTGGGACCGGAACCTCTTGTCAAATATTTACCTCTAATTCGCCTTACGAGTTCGTCCATTACAAGGCTCTATTTCAAACACGATTTTTATTTTGTTTTTGCCTGCCTACGAGCCAGCAAAATTGTGATTACAAAAACTCCTTAGTATGAGTTAATGTGCAATGACAAAGAACTCTATAGGGATAAAGTAGTCAACACTTTCCGCACGTTCAAACATAGTAAAGGTTTATACCCAATGTACGGTATCTACTTAAAATAAACCGCGAAAACTGCCTATGCCCTGTCAAAGCAGTACACAAAATACTCCCAAATCTATCCAAATATGGAAGGCCAATGTTTTTGTAATTAAAGTTGGTACATGGGTAAATAGGCAGTTGTTTGTCTGAAGTACTAAGATTATGCGTATAGCTTGCCAAACTAAATTAGACAATCTTCTACAGGAAGAGGAAGGGCAACCTAACTACCTAACATAGGTGTTACCGATAACGGAATAATTGCTTCCGACAGATGGTTAAGCAATGCGTTCAAACGGTACAATAGACTAGCCAACTCTAACAATAAGTAACGTTCCTAGCATCCAACATGGCTTGTTTCACACTGTACAGTGCTAACTCAGTTTTTCCTCACAGCTCATTTATTTTAATTTAGTTAATAATTTGCGCATATTGTAAATGTTGCTTTTCTTTTGACTGTTAAATTTTTTCTATGACAATATTATCGTAAGATACCACATTAAAACTACCTGGTTTGCGTCAAACGGAATATCAGCGCATGCTGTGCCCCATACTTACACAGAGTTCTTATAATATTCGAATGGATACCAGTTCATTTATCCTACATAGTCCTTATTTATATTAATTGGATTATTCGGGAGTTTACAGTGGATATCAGCGCATGTTGTAACACATGTTAAATACAGGGTTCTGTTTCAAGAATTACTCCGGATATCAGCTCAAACAGTAGCGTATGTCAATTGCAGGGTTTGTCTTAGAGTATTATACCACTTTTACACTGCAAGCAAAACTTCTGGTACAAACCAGGATTTCGCAATAACCGGGCTAGAATCTCCTGAGTTATGGTTGGTATAAACTACAGGGCCCTTTGGCCCTTAGCTACACCACTGCCAATAAAAGAAAGGAAACCGCTGCGCCACCCAATCCACTTCATAATTAAACATCATTTCCTATTATTGTGCATAAAATTCAATTCAATGAATTCAATTCAATTCAGTTTTATTGTCCAATAAGATGTGATTTAATGTTTCACTTCATTATAAAGAGAAAGGAAAATGCCACACGGAGAGGTTTGACCTATTCAAAACTTCAGAAGCAAATACAGATATATAAACACTAAAATTATAATGTAATCGAAAGCTATAACGTTCTAATTTAGAATTAAAACAAATATCAGCGGATTACAGAATATTAGACTTACTTGGGGAAAATGTTGATACCTGTCTGTAATGTATGTATTCAAATTGGATAGCGACTGTTGCTTTGTTTTGTCAAGCTTGTCTTTCTTTTTTCCTTACGTTTTTTCAAAACTATTATAACATCGTTTATTTTACTATTTTCACATTATTATACATTATGAATTATGTCCCTACATTACTGTGTATTTTTCTTCTTTTGTGATAGACGCACAAACAACATCACCGAGTATGGAATCAAAACTTAGTAAGTACACTAATAGGTGCAGTGAAAGTTACACTTTATAGAATCACAACATGATAATAATTATTAACTAGATATTACTTTTTCCATGGGGTTTGCGTCAAGAGAAAATGACAAATTTTGCCCTATCTAACGTGTTTTAAGTACTGAATGCCCAATTGTCGCACCACCGACCTAAAAACCCGCTAGACTACCGAGTACAAGCTCGGTGGTATAGTGGATACGACATCAGGCTAGTTAACTTGAAGTCATGGGTTCGATTCCCACCTGAATCACTAGCCAGATTTTTTTTCGCAAGTATTTGGGAATGTACTGAGCACTTAGTACTTTAAACACATCAGGTAGGGAAAACATCATTTCGTATTCGTAGATTTTTCTTGTAAAACAATACTTTTGCAGATGTAATTTGTAGTGATTCGACCATGAAAGTGTATTTGGATTCTTCTATTTATAAAACCGGAAATGTTCACTTTCTTGACCCAACATGTATGGATGAAGGAATTGTTTACCGAAACAACCGTCAGTGGATTTATTTATTTACTCGCTATGACCAATGCAAAACAACAATCACGGTAAAGCCAAATAATTTTCATTCTATCACTTGAGCCTATTGACAATTGGCGAACAAATAATTAGTTGTGATCTCAGTCGTCATGCAACTAATAAATTTGGACCATCAATATTGCTATCTCTTATAAACATAACTTATATTATATCCCTATGTTTTTCATATTGTCGTTGTCGCAGATGGTCATTTGTTTGTTACCACAATAACTATCATTTTTTGTAAGTCTGGTTGGTTTCGTACTCAAGATAGTAATAAGAGGACGGACACTTTTGTTTTGGGTATGTGTGGGAATATGTTAATTGTTCACTTGCATAATTTATATTTTACTAATCAGGTAATTTAATCTAATTACCACGTTGAAGTAACAACTTTATTAAATTTAATCCTAACAAATGCAAGGTAATGCAATGTGTTTAAGAGAACCGATCACACCTATAAGAGACAGCCATCATACATTTCAATTAATTAAGATAACTTGAAATTGTTAATGGGCCATAATTCTTGGTTGCCATATCAAGATAATTTAATTTGGGATGCTATGATTAACAATATTATTCGTTAATGTTGTAAATGATTGCAAATTATGTATAAGACTAGAAATTGCAAATCGCAAGTGAAGTGCTGCGAAGTACAACTGCATATAAATGTTCTTCGAACAAAATTATTTATGCGAGTCAAGTGAAAATAATGAATAATAAAAATATAACAAATAATATGAGACACGACCCATTGTCTATATTAGAACACTTCTCATTGGGTAACAAAGTCGTAATTTTTAATTTTTGTCAAAAAGTGTCTTCAAAATTTTTTGTTGACTTAAAAAATAGGATTACAATTTGAACATGCAATTTAACTTTTATGTCTTGAATATTTAATATTTCACATATTGTCTATGTTTTATCGATGGTCCTTAATGATCAATTCCTGCAGGAACTGGATAGGTCACCCTCTTTAAAAATTTTAATAAATAAATAATTATAACAATAATAATAATGAGAATGATGATAATATAGGTGGGGGCATTTAATTTGTGGATTTGAATAATATAAAAACAATAAACATATTAAAATTGCAACGTAGAAACATAGTAAAAACGAGCGTTGGAACCGTGTATGCCAGTCTACAACAAGCGTCGCCTAAATGTAATAATTAGCACGCTTAAAAGGCTAGTAAATAAGTTTAACTGGGTTCGTAAATAATATTGGCCTCAAATATTGTGGCTGAGACATGGGCCGATTAAACGTAGAAATAGGAAATATAGAAATATAGTAAAAACGCTGAATAGTATTATACTCGAGCGTCGCGAAATGCGGACGTTGGTACGTGCAGGTTAGTCTACAAACGTCGCCTAAAGTAATTGATTTTACCCGGCAGAACGAAAGAAGGAAACTCCTCTTTTCAGTCGTCTTAGGTTCTTGTTTTTTGACAAACAATGACCTTTCAGGTACAAATTGCTGTCAAGAATATGAATTGGCTGCTTCGCAGCAATTAGATGATTTGGTATATCTACCACTGATCTAATATCTGTCTACATTGGATATATCAGGCCAGCTCTAGAGTACACCGTCTCGGTAGGTCCAATGTATTGGATTGGATTGGATTTATTCTGTGTAAACACCAAAGATAGTCTACGAAAGTCTAGAAGAATTTCCAGCGGAGTTCTTCTGGTGGTGATGGGGCAGTAAACCGGGAGACAATCCTCTATTCTTTTGCGAAGAGTGTACTGCGTTCTTTAACGTGCAAACACATGGGCTAAGTGCACACGGGACCAATGGCTTAAACGTCTCATCTTACAAACAGTGCGCTATTTTAACTTGTATTTCAGCCCTCTAGCTGAAACACAAGGAGAGGAAGCGATTGGAATTGAACCGGGGAGATCTCCACGGTTCAGCACACACACAGCGGCTACCACCAGATTAGCATGCAGGTATCAGAATTTTAAAACTCAAAAATTCTAAAAAAAAAATATAAGAAGCTTAAGAATAATAATTGTTAAAGCATATGAGAGTTAAAGCAATTCTCTAAAAATCGTTTGTATTGAAACTTTTGGATAGAAGGACCCACTTGTGTTTTTCTTTCCTGACCAGGTTCCTCAACCAATTGAATGATGTTTAATAACAAAGTTATAATAACATTGCTCATCTAAGGTTTTTCTGACATTCTGGACATACACAAGCTGAAAACCATTGGCAAGTAACCAATCAAGTGAGGCAGTGATTGGTGGATATATTCACAGGCAAAATGTCTCTATGTTCAGATCGTCAGCGTATAAAGAATAAGTACAAAGAAGAAATAATTAGATCATCTTCATCAACGTTAAAATCGAGTTCGATGTTTCATAACTGACTGGATATGTAGGCCTACGCTCGATTAAGTGCCACCGCTTTTATTTTAAATAGAATAATCCCAGATAAGCGCCGCAGCACTTATTCCAGAGCGGCGCTTTGCGAAAAAATCGTTTGTTTATTTAAGAGCCGTACTTGGATTTATGAATTATAGGCCTAATATACCGAATACTGTAACTATTATGTTTTCTTTAGTTTACACAAAATTCAACAACGTACCGCAACCAGGTCATCGTATCCACTCACACGAACTATGAGATATACATGAAGGAGGATTTTCACTTTACAGTAGAATGTCTTGTTAACAACAGAGGGCCATCTCTTGTGGAGTTTGCTACAATGGCCGATGGCGAAATTGTTTTCGAGCGAAAAAGTGGAAATTTTACCTTTACGATGGCGCTATATACTAATGGTAGTTACTCTATTCCCTACTCCGGTCGGCAATATCCTGTAAAACTGAGCCTTGGTAGTAAAGTATTCGTTGGTGCAAGCGTCCAAACTTTTAGCAACGATATGGTCTTGATTGTTGATTCCTGCAAAACGACACTTAACCCTGACCTCCACGTAAATCCACAACACAAACTGATCGAAAACAGGTAACATATTTTTGTTTTCTATTGTAAAAACATACATACATGATACAATTTTAGAAAAAGGTGTAACAGTCTGTTTTAAAAAATTGTCCAGCTAAGACAAGTATCATAGAATATAAAATGAATTATAATAAATGTTCAACATTACAAATATTGCAACACTCTTAACTAAAAAATAATAATAATAAAAAAAAGTTACAAAGTACCACAAAATTTGAAAATCGGTTTGCCATACAAAATACAAAGTGTCTAATCATTTGGATGATATCGGAATTACAAAAGAGAATAAATAAATGACAAAGTGGAAATCACTCACATTAAAAAAAAAAAAATTTTAACACCATTACAACACAAACTGATCGAAAACAGGTAATGCATTTTTGTTTTTTAATTTAAAAACATATAAATTATACAATTTTAGAAAAGGTGTAACAGTCTGCTTTTTAAAAAGTCCAGTTAAGACAAGTATCGTAAAATATAAAATGAAAATAATAAATGTAAACAGTGTACAAGTATTACAACACCCTTAACAAAAAATAAATAAATAAATAAAATAAAAAGCACTAAAAAGAAGACAAAATTGGAAAATTTGGAAAAAGGTTAGCCTTATAAAATACAATTTGTCTAATCAATTGTAAAATATCAGAATTACAAAGCAGAATAAATATATAACAAAGCGAAAATAATTACATCTTTAAAAAAAAACTATTAAAGTGTGACATAATTAAATTTAAATCATTTACTAGTTGCAAGTTAGTAAAATCTAGGAAATTTAACAGAAGGACGCACATCCCCGCTTTCGAACACAGAGCGTGCGTACAGTCCCTTGATCATTACTGTGGCATCGACAATTCAATACTAGCTGCGAGTACAGCCGTCAATTATTAATTTATGTGGGCCATACGTTTTATGGTGTTAGTTACTATTTTATTAATTTTCGGTACTTCGCAATGTCCGACACATCTGATTTCTTTTGACTGCGAACTTGTTAAATGCTTCTATATAAACTGCAATTTCATTTTTGAAAATTAGCCAAGAAAATTAAAACTTATAGCAATTGAAATTTACGAATTTTATAAAATTTCACGTTCTTATGTAAAATTAAACTGTCATTTTGACAATGTTGGACTAAGGTGCACAAAACGAACCTTTGAGCAGAGATACATGAAATTTATTAATTCGTTCGTGAGTCTCACGAACGATAATACACGTACCACAACATCGGTAAAATTAATGTTGAAATGAAGAATATAATTTCAGTCTAATGTTAGTGCAAACTATCATTAGGCCTTTTTAATCGTGCGCCTAGAATGTCGTTGCCAGAGTTATAGGCTACGTTCAAACCTGTAGTCCACCAGAAATAAGGATTTGAAGCACCAAAGTTGGACATAATTGCAACAAAACGGGGTTTTTTTTATGAATATATATAGTTACATTTTATATCTACAACATACAAAAAGTTTACCAAAATATACCCACGGGAAAGATGATTTTTATATCAGGGAAAACTGAACTATTTCACTGGGCTTATACGTCCTGCCTACGATATGTGTGATGTGCCTTTGTTACGAAGCTCTTTAATTTGATTTGCCGCTGACGCTTTTGTTGGTTAACATACCTTCAACAGTCTGCGCGTACTCTTTTACGCAACACGTACGTAAGTACGCAAGTACGCAAGTTCGTACGTACATTACTTCCCAGAATGCAAACATGGAAGTAAAACTGAAATTGTTAGATAGTCACCTCTGTAATATTTAATTTCAGGGTAGATGGTTCTACAAAAACCTAAAGGTCCACTGATTAATCTCAGATAAAATAGTATAATGCATACTCCATGCACGCCATCGTGTCGGGATTAAATATTTCGACATTGACATAATTAATGTCGGGATTCAATATTTCGACATTAATTATGTCATCATCAGGCTCCACCACAATAATTCAATTTTAATTTTAAATACGATGATAGGTACGATTAATTGACAAATGGTGAGGCCTGCCCAGTGTGTGCCGACACAGCTAAGACTCATGAGTCAGAAAAACAAATATGTGATCTTTCATCAATAGGCCTTTTATAGAAATAGGCCTATTAATATATTTTCTTACCTAAAACCACTAATTAAAATTTTATAGCTATAATACAATAAAACAAATTTATTGGCCAATAGTGTAAAATAATTACTGATATTTTAAAAAGTATAATAATAACTGATAATTTATTTATTTGAAATAGGCCTACTATTCTACTCTTCATATAAAAAAATGTTGGAAATCACATAAATTTATTATTCGATGCCGAATTATAATGCCTTGTCTTCTGGTGAATAACATGGACGGGGGTGACAGGCGACACGTACCCCAACTATTTTAAGGGGTGGTCCCCCTCACGTTTAGTCCGCAAGGTAAACTCTTAAGGAAGTCAAGAATATACCTGGAAATTGTTGAATTGAACTGCATAAATGACCAGATTTTAACAAAAGACCACTGTACAGGCAGAGAGGCAGAGAAGATACCGGTGTTTTCTGTCCACAAACACATGAATTAACTATAATACACGACTCGAGTACGTGTGCTTTTATTATAATTTGACAAGTATGTCAAAAAAAAAAGTGTGTAAAGATAAATTGGTTTTCGGCTCAAGAAGTAGGTAAAGTAGATAAATCAAAGACATGTGTCCCCTCAATTGTGGGTTGACTAATGTATTGATTTGACCATTTGGCAAACACATAGAGTGTTTCCGTCATATTGTCGTGGTTGGCCGTAGTGTTAAAAGATATTATTTTACTTTTTATTGGCTATGGTGTCCTCTTGGCACCCATCTGGCCATTTTCCTAAGGAGCAAAAGGTTGCCGACCGTAGGATTCATTAATTAATTATTTTCATACTCTATTTTGTCTTGGTGTATTACTGTGTTTGTTGAGGGGCCCTAATGATGGGCTTTGGCTAGATGGAGCACCCTCATTAAAGATTGTTGAAATAAAATAAATATATAAATTGTTCGAGTCTAGGTCTATGTAATTTAAGCCATCCAATGTATCTCAGTTCTGATGTTTATAAGTTAAAAAAATAATAAGATAAAAATTAACATTAAGCCATTAATACTAAGACCAATTGACTTTTTTTAGGTGTGAAGATGCATTTCATTTCAAGTACCTAGTATAGGCACATGTATGTTAATTGTAAACTACAATGATAATTTAACCAAAAGTGTTTTCAGCACAAAATATTTTACTACCATTAAAAAATTATTATTAATAGGGGCCTATTTCTATTTGTCCTATAGTAACTATAGGCCTACACACTATGGTACTCGACAATAAATACAGTAGTAGTTCTTCATTAGTAGGCCGATGCATTTCTAGTTCCATTTTACACTTAGATACTGATGAGATTACATTCAAAATAGTCCTAGGCCTACGTTACTAAGATCTTCTCTATACGTTCATGCGTGCGTTGGCCGAGAAAGCGTTGCAATGCGGGGAGAGTGCGCGATCGGAACCACCGGGGAAGCAAGAGAGGATGCCTATCTAGGCTAGAGGGTCTAAAAAATGAGATGTTATTACAAAGCCTCAGGCCTAGGCTTTACAATAAAATTTGTCTGGGTCATACATGAAACTGCTCTGGCATCCAGTTAATTTCCAATATTTATAGCTATGTAATTCCTGTAAACCGAGAGAAATATTTCTCTAACTCGTAGGCCTACACCAAATCTCGCGATCGCGAAGCTCGCACGCGGGTCTCACAGGTCTCACAGGTCTCACTCTTCCGGCAACAAACAGACATGACCTACGTTGACCTAAATGTTGACCAATCATAATCAAGATAAGTTTGAAAACCGCAGTATGGATCGTGTAAAAGTCTACTTTCAAATAGTGCTGGAACTTTTTGTTATAAAAAACACCTTTATGTACGTCCTATTTTGGTAAACTTTTAGTATGTTGTTTTACATAATAATTAAGTTTATATTTAGATCATAAAACGTTTTGTTGCAATTTTGTCCAGTCAAATCCGTATTTCTGGTGGACTACTGAGAGATACGCCAGGCGTATCTAACGCCGGACTACGTTAATCCATGGCGTAACTATCGAGACGTCTAGACACCACAATTCTCGAGTTTCAAACATACGGGTAACTAGCTGTACTGAACTTTCTGGGTAAATTGAGGGCACAATTGCAAATGATGGTTTTTAGGCGAAATTTGGTTGGCTGAATCTATGGCAGCCATCTTGGATGGTACACACATAACTCTGCGTATTTCGAACATCGAATACATTGCAGTTAGCACTTATTATATCTCTATGGTCTAAAAATAGCCATTACCTTTGATGTCCCGAAATGTTGGTCCTTCTGTTGAATTGCCTTTGGTAAAATAGAAATTCTTCTAATTGTTGTTTGTTGAATAGTGGAGTGTATATTATTCCACATTCTAGCAAATGCATTCTAAAATCATTTCTCATGGATTTATAGTTTGGAATTAGTGGGAAAACTTTTAAAGTATTTGAAGAACTAGAAGCGTATCCATGTCGATAAAATGTCATAGCAAATCATTACATAAGCGCAATGGTGCTATTTCTTGTGTACATTTGAAATTCAATGATGCAAAGACATAATCACTTTTTTTCTCAAATAAATGCCAATTTAAAAGTTATTAAACCTTCACCACGATTATTATTATAAGCAATATAATTAGAAAAAAAAAATCTTTTTGCAGTTCTTTTTTTTAGTCTATGCAAGACGGGTTTCCCATAGTAACATTTTGTAATCAATGCATCAATGTTGAATTGTGTTTTTCAAAGGGTTTTTCATAACTCATTGATGTTAAACCTAACAGACTTCATTGTTAATTAAACTGTTGATTTCAATTTACAACCGATTTAACAATATTATTAGAGAGCACAAAAACCACAGCAAAATACAAGTTTTATTTTGTGGGTTTCCCATAGTAACATTTTGTAATCAATGCATCAATGTTGAATTGTGTTTTTCAAAGGGTTTTTCATAACTCATTGATGTTAAACCTAACAGACTCCATTGTTAATTAAACTGTTGATTTCAATATACAACCGATTTAACAATATTATTATAGAGCACAAAAGCCACAGCAAAATACAAGTTTTATTTTGTGGCAAACCTTATATAGATTGATATTATCCAAATGAAATACAATATCACTATATGTTAAAGATAATAAAATATGCATACAGGTTCATTTGAATGTATTGTATGTTTTGAAGACAATAAAGTACCACTTTATCTGCCTTACTACAGTTGTGCTGTAGATTCAACAGTTAATTTCGACGGCCAATCAACGATCAACAACACATCTCGTGTCTTCTTTTCATTCGATATTTTTGGCTTCTCTGGAGATTATTCAACGGTAGGCCCATCTATTAGCATTTGTGTTCCCAACTATTGTATTGAAGTCTATCGTCACCTTTTTTATTATTAATGTTTTGACCGCATCTGATGTGTATAAGAGACAGTATATATATATCGAGATCATTTACTGATTTCATATTAATCTAAAGAAACATTACATAATATTTCGCTTAAAAATCCTTACAGTAGTTAAAAAGTTACATAAATTTGTTTGTGATTGTCTCTTGAAATTCGATGTTTAAAAGGTCAAAAGATGCCTAAAAATGTTTAACAAAGATACAGCAAATAGTAATACATAAGTTATCAAGGGATTAATATATTTGTATATATCCGTTTTAATGACTTGTGCTAATAAGTTTATTATTTTATCCCACTTTTCCACTTATTCCAGCTTTCAATGTATGTACATGTTTGTTAATACTTTGAACATTTATTTTTAAAGGTATTTGTACAATGCCAATTATCAGTTTGCAATGAGAGTGATGTGCAATGTCGTAGGGACTGCCAGCAACCTGAGCTCCTTGATGTAACTACACCAAAGGAAGTGCCTGATACTGTTAATGTTACTATTGGACCTGTCAAACTGAACACACTAGACGACGATTTAGATGTTAGCCTTGACGCTAAAGGTATAACGTGATTTATATCCATTTTCATAGCTGGGTCTAAGGGGGCGAAGTTGGTGCTATCGCACCACCTTCCTAAAAAAAAAAAAATTAAAATCGATCATATCACATCACAAATTGAATTAACGTTTCCGGAGTGTCAATCAAACCTAACAATTGTTAATTACCTAAATAACAAATCCTTTCTCACTTAAACCTAACTGAAAAGAATACATACATTAGTAGACGGTCATTTACTCACAGTGAATGTGCTTCATCCCATTTTATATTTAGTATAAGCATACGTGTAACAATGGTCAAATTACATAAATTTTCTTTAGTTTGTGTAAAGAAATATGTACGGTACAGTTATTTATGTAATATACCGAGAGTATGTGCCTTATTATATTGGAATAATATTTTAAACAACATTGAGCATTTTCCTAAAATCTCATCAAAAAGACAATATCACTACATCTGTTAAAGATTAAAGAACTTAACGAATGTATATTTTTTACAAATAGAAAGTGTTGGTTATAATTATATTGAAAATTTATACTGCTGTTGATGACATTCATTATATATTCGATGTTAGATGTTTAAGAAAAACTAGTAAAGTATGTACATACTTTTCACAGACAAAAAGGTCAACGAACTTACCTCTTTCGCTGTTTTTATTAGTTGAATAATTAAATTTGCTCACTTACGTATTTTCCCCTTGTTATTTATTTAAAATTTAATGGTGGAAACAACATGATATGTTTTTATTTGTAATACGAACAAAAGAAGTGTTTGATGCCAGAGCCCGACCAAACCAACATAAATAATATCTAGAATTTTATTTTATTTTTTTTTATTGTATAGCGTAACACTTTTCAAGTATTAACTCGAATTCATGTTGCCTTTTTGCTGGAAAATGCAACATATAAAAATGGTTTTGGCCAATTTTCCCACTTTTGCTTCCACTACCCTATCGAGTTTAATTGCTGCACTATGTTGATTGGGTTTTTCCATTGTCATGTGTGGAGTTTCATAATAACAATATGGATTATTACGCAGTAAATAAAATGTTATTCTATCATTATTTTAATAAGTGTATGTGTGGCATCTATATCCTAATTGCAATACTTGTATGATTGCGACGAACAATACGACACAGCACAGGCTTCTTATATTAGGATGTTTTATACACAAATGACGTCATTTTAGATAACTGTAAATCCAGAAGCAATTTGAAAGGACACAGCACCTTAATTTTCTCAGGTAGAACTACTCAAGTAATCATATACAAAGTTTTATATCAGTGTTTATGCCTTATATACGGTACATTTTTTTCCATGAATCATTAATCTCTTTAATCAGTTGTAACAAAACACACACACACACACACACACACAAGTGAGAGCCTAAAAAAGCCAAAATAGCGAATTCCTTGAAATAATTCAAAACAGCTTGAGAATGTACTACAAAAACTACCGAGTCTAGCAAAGATACGCCATTTTTTTACTCTTTACGGTTTGTTAGAGAATTTTTTAAAAAAACATAATCCACTTAAGCAGTTGTTTTTAAGATCATATATAATTATGTGTAAAACGTACTTTTTTTTTTTTTAACAAAAACGACATTTTCTAATGGTCAGGGCAGAAATGTGACATTGGGAAGCAAATGCGACAACCTTTCGATATAATAATGTTTGAACTAATTACACCCATCATTCAATTTTTAGATTCAACTTCAGGAAGAATATTTCCAGCATTGTCTACAACATTGTGGCTTCCTGTTAGTCTTGTAGTGTTTTCTGTAGCATGTGTAATTTGGATAAAGAGCAAGACGACCAACAGGAAAACAAACGTGGAGAAGAATTGGATGAGACTGGAAAAAAACCCTTAACCTACATTATAAAACTTCGTTTCTTTGTCAACATATGTATTTTATGATTTTGCATGCTTGTAGTATAGTACATTACCGAAGTAAGAAATGTATTTTTACCTTATATGTCATTTACCATGGATAATTGTGTTTCGATAAATTAGCTCCAAAGATAGTTGTAGTAATGCTCTTTAATAAAGTAAGATAATTGATTTTATCTATTTATCTATAAAACATTATTGAATGAAATATAAATTATGAAAAAAAATGTTCTTTAGTTAATTTCAATGTGATACACATAAATAACTATATGAGCATGGCGGCAGAGAATGGTCCGCGTGTGGTTAACCATGATACTAAACTGGCCTTTTCATAATAAAACAAAATATGTTAAAAGATTGAACAAACCATAAATTTCAGAGCATTTTGTCGCGGAATCTTTTATTCATTATGGATAGAAAGTGATCAAAGATTTACTGTCCAGTACTCTCAAGACACGGTATTAGTAAAATTAACCTTTTAAAATTGTTAATTAATGTTAAAACTAGCCAATCAGTACCAATAATACTTCAGCGTACTACAATGCTTACACTGTTGGGATACCATATCAACATTATCTGATGAGGTAGGGAGGGCTTAGTGGAACGAATTATTATCACCAACACTTCCTTAGTTACCTTATTGATAATAATAATCACCATCCAGCTTGTGTTTTAGCCTTTCACCCATTGGTCAGTTTATCGCCATCCAGCCTCTCTACCCAAACATATAAGTATTTCCCTGTTTGGAGTGTCTGCAGATATTATTCTCCTGAAGACGATTGAAACATCTCAATCGAAACGTCGAGACTCAATATTAATAATAATATTGTAATTTGAATAAGGATAACAAGTTTTGACGATTTACCATCCAGACGCCTACACAGATCTTGAAGAAACATATCGTAGCACCATTTTTTTTTTAAATTTAGTGCCTTACCATAATTGGCATTTTTAGTTCAAATTTATGTAATTCAAATATCTTTAAAATATTTTCACACGAATCTATAAAATATTGGCATTGCCACGCAACAAAAGCAGTAGGTACCAGTATTCAATATTGTGTGTTAGTTCCAGTTCTCTCTAATGAGAAAGCTTATTCAATATATCTGGGCCGATAACGTTAGTCTTTTTCTATACGAGTACAAAATAAATTCGGAGAGTGCAATTATAGTGCTTTGTCTTTAATTTTAGTAATGTCCTTCAATACAATATATTTGAGACGTGGTGTGAATGTATTGATCTCTTGCAACACTATCTTCAATTTTCCAACTTTTGCAGACTTTACATTATTCACAGTGTATCATTAACCAGTTTCTTTTCATAAAAAAAAAACCAAGCCTATTTTTAGTAACCACAATCCTGCAAAATGGTTTATCTAAAATTTCAAATAATTTTAAAGTTGTAATTCACTTTAAACTGCGAGTGAAGGAAAAGAGATACTTTGTTAAATTACCACACCACTTCTGAAATTCAATATTTATATGTCTAAACATTTCAACAAATGGAATTGACATTTCATTTACACACCTCACTTATTATGGTATTTTTTATCGCAAGTGATACACAATCTTGGCTAACTTGTCCTTTGTTATAATTGTGATGCGTAACATTGTCTTACGTTCAAAGCAGCTTTCGTAGTAACTCGAAATGCAGCACATCGACAAGATTTTAGATGTAGACTGCTCTCAATTCTCCACAATTCACTACCATACCAAAGAACAGTGATAATGCCATCTAGACTCTTTTACAAAGTCATTCATTGTGATCCTCCACAAAGGAATGAATAAGTTTAGGTACAATGTCGAGCTGCCCCCATTTGAGAAAACAAATCGTTCGAGATTGTATTTTGTGAACGTCTCTGGTATTTTCAATATTGCAACAGTGACGACATTTGAACTGTTTTTATCTGCTATACATACATTCAACGTCGGAAATGCCAAATACAGGGGAAAATTTTGAAAAGTTATTTTCTTCGTTGAAATGTAATACCCTTGGATTATTGCTTGTATTAATGCTCAAAAGTGGGGATGTATCTCCAAACCCAGGCCTAGCCCCGATATAAGAAAAGAGACTTGGATCTTTCTGTGTTTAATAAAACGGGCCTGCATTTCATACATCTAAATTGCAAGATCAAAATTCCGAAAATATCCGAATTAAAATGATTTGTTCTGAATACAAGAGCAGCCGTAGTTTATATAACTGAAACATGGCTGGATGAAAGAGTGAGTACTAACAAAATAGTGATTTAAGAATTCACTGTTATACGCATCGACAGGAACAGAAATGGTGGGTGTGTGTGTACTTCATACGGGAAGACATTGCTTTCAGACAAAGAGATGATTTAAAATGTGATGCCGTTGAAGGAATTTAGTGTGATTTCTTACTTCCCAAAACAAAACCAATCCTTGTGGGAACTATCTGCCGCCCATACTTACGATAATACGCTATAGCGCAGAGTTGGTCATCCTTGGTGATTTCAACAATGACATCAAAAACACAACCTCCTGTATCCACAAGCGCTACATTGACATGTTTAAGCAGTTTAATATGTGCTGAAACAACATATCAGAGAATATGCACGAGTAACCGATACTACGTCTTCTACAATTAATCCTATTCTGTGCACCAATCCAGATAAATATGCAAGTCTGGAGTTATACAAATTAGTATTAGGACCATTTTGCTATTTTTGCACTCGAAAGAACAAAAAGAGTCAAGTATCAGAACCAAAGGTGATTAACATAAGCATAAACAAATATGACGTAGATGCATTTCTGGACGCGTTATCAAAAACCAGACAGATGTGAATATTTCATGGACAAAGAAATGGATGACACGGGAGATATTGAGTAAAATTCACAAAAGGAATGATGTACTACGCAAGACCGTCAAACTGAAGATCTTTATAAATGATACTGTAAATTAAGAAATGAAATTTAAAAAGACATTAAGAAGGCCAAAGCACGATTTATTATGAACAAACTTAAAGAAAACAAATCAAATCCAAGAATGTTGTGGCGAGAACTCAAATGTTTAGGCTATACTAAGAAATCTAATTCAAATGTATCTTTATACATAGATGGTCAGGTTTCCTCTGATTCCTCTGAGATTGCAAATCACTTCAACAAACTATTTTCCAATATTGCGTCCATTCTAGTCAACTAATGTCCATATTCTTGTAAGATATACACAACAGAATCTGATACATTATATGAATTTTACCGTCATAAAGTTTTAAACTGGAAGTTATAGAAAAAAAAACTTGTTCACTCGCAACTTAAATTTCTAAATACTTCAAAAGCTACCGGACTTGATATTATTCCGATTAGATGTTTATGAGATGCTGCTACAGTTTTGAAAGTGCCAATTACTAAAATTATAAACATTTCTACTACCAGCAATACGGTACCAAATGATTTTAAGCTGGATAAAGTTAGACGGTTATTGTAAGAAAAATAAACTGGCTTTAGAGAATCTATAAATTGCTTAGGAGTAGATATTGACCAACATGTGCTTGGCGAGGCTGAAGGTAATTTGTATATAGACAGGCAGAAGTGCTGAAATAAAAATTGTGTAAAATATTAGCATCTGCACTTATTCCATGTTTATTTGATTACTCTGCATCATTTTGGTACGCAGGCCTATCAAAGAATTTAAAAACATAGACTTCGAACTAAACAAAAGAAGATGATACGATTTGTAACGGATAAGTGCTCTCGTAGTAATGTTGGTCAATTCGAACTATCAGAACTTGGATTTTTAAAAGTTGATATTTATTTTTTTTTTATTTATATTTGTCTAAAATTTCTAAATTTTAACCTTGAAATTTTATAATTTTAATAATTGTATTAACAATATGCTCAATAATTTAAACGAGTGCGCTTGTAGCCAATATCAGCAAATGCCTAAACTATCGAAGAACTTGAACTGAAATGGAATGGAAGAAAACTCAACCTCTTTTGTATATACTGATATTTTAGAACTTATCTTGGTAATCATGTGCTTTTTCGATTTCCACGTCAGATCTGACATAAGTGAACTCAGGACAAGTGTTTTTAAGGTTGGACAAGAATTAGGGACCACTTATCCGTTAGAATATTAAGCTACTGTACCATGTACATGCGTAATGCTTTTATAATACTAATTATATATATTTATACAAAAAATTCCGATTCTTGACAACACGCAGCATATTTAATATACACATTGTCGTCGCACAGAGGGATATCAAACAGAAGAGCGACTACAGATAGGCATACACTACTATATGTCGGTATTGGTAATACAAGAAGTTATTTATCAATAACTTTTGGTGACGGGTCTCGACTAAATTTATGCCTCCCGATTCAAAAAGAAAACTATAATAGAACTACTGCATTTATACAATTTGTTATTTTCTGAAGTAAAGATTATTTAATTTTTAATTGTTAACATGCTTGCAGGATCTGTCGGCGTAGAAGTTGTACATTAAACGTACAACAGAAATTTATTTTCGCACGATACATACCTGTTAGTCGCCGTCCGTCTGGGCCTGCACTGGTCTAGTCTATCCAGACATATTCAATTACCCTGGGTGTACAGTCATCTTGATTAGTTGAATTGGACGACTTGAGATGTTAGGACTTCAAGACAAATAATTACTTTCGAGTACTTTTTCATCTACTGATAACAAACGTAGATTCTGTGTAGTTTCCTATACTTTGGATCAAAGACCCCCACCACTCATCGATGCTATTTCTTTTAGATATTTCAAAGGCCTTTGACAGGATGCCTCATGATTCTTTTAAGTAAGTTTTCCCAGCCATTTAACATCTCTGGTGATATCTGGTACTGGTTAAAGTCATTTTTGACTAAACGTTTTTAGAAAGTTCAATTTAAGGGATCCTCATATAACTGGGTGGAGGTAACCAGTGGGGTACCACAAGGCAGTGTACTTGGTCCCATTCTTTTTAATTTTTTATTATTAATAATAATGACATTACTTGTTCGCTTA